AATTTTATTATAATTAACAGAGTAGGCCTACATCTAACTACTGTGATGTTTTCTTTTCCAATTGTGAATTTTCAGTCACAGGCTGTGCAAATGAGCAAAACTTAATTTGCGGTTCAATCCATCTCTTTTAGCGAATTTTTCCCTATAGGGATGTAGCTATTACCGTAGGTGGCACGGTAAGACCTAGACCCGGGACCGATTTACTTTTTCATTTTGATGTCCCCAGAGGCCAAAAACACTATTCGTTCAAATTTTTATATATGTATATATATATATATATATATATACATATATATATATATACGTCCGTGAACGCGATAACTTGAGTAATTTTTGTCCGATTTTGATGAAATTTGGTTTAAAGGTGTAAAGCGGGATAAACTTGAATGACTTCGCGAACCAGCACGATCGGACCATGGAAACGGGGCTTTACAGGGGGTTTTATGGGGTAAAAATTGGGTTTTCTCACTTTTGACCCTCAAAACACAAAATTTCCCAATTTCTCTTTAGACCTTTTTAAAGACCTTAAAAAAACAAATAATTTAGTATGTAAAAGTATTTTTGTTCAATTATTAGTAACGGAGAAAATTTAAAAAATTGTAAATTTAAAATTCCCATGTTATTCTTATGGAGAATATTGTCAAATGTTGTAGTTTGCTTGTTTATGAATATATTTTGATCAAACTTGGCAAATTTATTTATTTTGTACTAAGCTATCAATATTTTACTCAAAAACACACTTTATTAGTTTCCTTGTAGCAGCAAACCTAGGTACTCATTAAACCTAATGTTATTAAAATATATTTAACTGAAAATCAATTCAGACAAATGGAAATTCGCTTAGTCGGCAGGTTTGCTGCGGCGGGGTATTTTCTTTATTGTCAAGAACTCAATGCCTTATCGACCAATTTAATTATAAATCATAATAATAATAATAATAAATCTTTATTTGTCGTAAAAATACAATAAAGTAAAGTAGGTACAGTTATAGTAAAAAAATAGGTCTTAAAAGTGTCTAACCAAGGGGTCTCCAACCTACAGCCTGCGGGCTACATCCGGCCTCGTGCAGTTTTATTCCAGCCAGCAGAAAGCCAGCATACGTTTTTGAAAATTATTATTTTTTATAGCAAACACCAATGATATTCTCCCACAATTGCGTAAACACGTGTGGTCAGGTGGTCTCAGCTATACCGTGATCATCTCCCGTGATCTCGCCAAGACTCATGAGCATATTATACTGCAGTCTCGACGGTTCCGTGATTGTCTTTTGCAATCCCAGCAACACCCGTCATTGTTGACCGTGATTTCCTTGAGGTGTAAAAAGAGAACGTTGTCAATGAATGCAGGCTCAGCCATGGGATATTTATTTACCTCGCGGCTCATACCATAATTAAGAGCAATCAACTGTCTTTTCCCCATTCAACAAAATTTGTGTACAATTCCCTGTCTCCAAGTTGGCAGGCTAACCTATTTAAATAGGAACATAGCTAATTTTTTCTCAATAGGCCCAGGGGAATATTAGCAGTAGTCAAGTAGCGGCAGATTAATTTAAATATATATATTTTAAATTGATCCTAATTGGCAGAATTACAAATTGAAATCTTAAACTAGCTGACATTTTATGTGTCAAATTATATAGCCTATTCTCACTAAAAAATCATTGCACTTTTTGTCAAAGATTTAGCTTAGAATGCGATTACTTCTTAATTGCACATCTTTCGTTAGAATTAGAGGCATTTATAATTTTATTTTATGAACAGAACTATATTTTAGATTATTAAAAAATGGAAACTGATGTAGTTTACTTGTTTATGGATAGATTTTGATAAAATTTGGCAAACTTATTTACTTTATCCTATACTATTGACGCATGCTCAAAAAAACTTTTTAGGCCTACCTTCTCCATAGCAGCAAACCTAAGCTCTTGTTAAATCTTATCTTCATTCGATTTCTATCTTATATATATTTTTTATTTATCAGCAAGTTATGTTAGCTTATGACAGTTTAATTTTATAATAGAATGCTCTCATTTTGTCCGTAGTAAGCCTTAATTTGATTTTTTCACTATCAGCAAGTTTGGTTAATTAGGTTAGGTTATGACAGTTTAATTTTATAATAGAATATTCTCATTTTGTCCGTATCACAAAAAAACCTTTACCTTGTGACAAACGACAACTACAATCGCATCGATAGTAGATGATGTTGTGATTCGATAGAGTAACGAACAATTAACGTTAGTCACTAAATCGGTGGCGTTTTTAGACGAAAAAGTGCTCACCGAGGAAAAAAAGGTTGGAGACCCCTTGTCTAACATATTATATTTTATCTATAGCTGTCTTAGAAAATAACTCTGTTGAACCTCTTTTACAGGAACAATAGAAAAATCAAGAAGGCCATTTGGGAGATGAAGAAGACCAGAATATTTTTTTTTTTTAATTGTACACATCTTGTTTATATTTGTGTTTAAATAATTTGTAATTAAACTTATTTTATCATACAAACAAAATTTTTTCTTTAAAATGTTTTCCTTGAATGCAATTTTGTTTTAAACAAATATGTTTTGTGATACTTTTATTAAAGTTTTGTCAAATAAGAAATATATATATATTTACATTTTTGGGTAACCCAAGAACTTTTACAAACTACCTATAACTTCAGAATAATAAGTCAAATCAACGTAAGAACAGTATAGAGGTCTGAACTGCTATTATTTTAATCGCCATGAAATTTGAAAAATGCAACCTAATTCTTTTAAACATATTTTACCAATAAATTTATGAGACATTTATTTGATATTCAATTTAATATTTATTTAATGTCAAATTAAGTGAGGTTGAACCTAAATTGACCATTTATTTGATATCAAATGCAGGCCCGTTTTTGACCCTGTTAGCGCCCTAGGCACAACCTAATAGTAGCGCCCCTTTGCAATATATATATATAAGGGTGTCCACCGACCGGGAAATCCGGGAATCATGCGGGAATTTTATGAACCGGGAATTATGTGTGAATTTTGTATTTCTACCTGGAGTTTTCAAATTACCGTGATCGTGCATGACAACAGTTTCCGTGACCGCGGGAGACGATAATATGTCTACACTCGGCAGCAAAATATTCAGAATATTACCACGATCACGGAAGACGATGATAATGTCCACACGACCGCGCGAAACAGCAAGAATTGTACCGCGATCGCGGAAGACGATGATGATCTCCACACAACTGCGGAACATGATTAACATTTTGCTGCAATCGCGGGAGACGATTACCATGTATACACGACCGCGGGAGATGGTTACGATGTCTACAGGACCGCGGGAGATACAATAATGATTTACACGGCCGCGAGGGACGATCGGAATTATGCCACGATCGCGCAAGACAATGATAATGTCCACATGACCGCGGGAAAAAATCAGAATTTTGCCTCATTCACGGAAGACGACGATCTCCATATGTCCACAGGGGATGATTACAATTATTCCACAATCGCAGGAGATGATTACGATGTCTACAGGACCGCGGGAGATACAATAATGATTTCTACACGGCCGCGAGGGAAGATCAGAATATTGCCGTGATCACGGAAGACGATGATAATGGTCACACGATCATGGGTAAAGTTCAGTACTTTTTACCTAATTTGCGGAAGAGGATGATGATCTCCACAAGACCGAGGGAGATTACTACCATTTTGTCACGACCGCGGGGGACGATATAATGATGTCTACACGGCCGCGAGGGATTATCAGAAGTTTACCACAATCGCATGCAAACCACCAATTTTTTTTTATTTTCCAAATTTTTGGCGCCCCCCAAAAAAGCCAATTGCCTCGCGCCCTAGGCACGTGCCTACCGTGCCTATTCGGTAAATCGGCCCTGATCAAATGAATGTTCGCGAATATCAATTTAATATTCGAATGTCAAAAATGTTATATCAATATTTATCACCATCATATTTAAAATGTGAATGTAAATTCAATCAGATTCTCTTTATCATATTTTACCAACAAATTTATGAATGTCAAATTTGATGTTTATTTTATATCCAATTTGAATATTCATTTGATGTAAAATTGAGTGACGTTTGATCCTAAATTGAACGTTTATTTGATATCAAATGAATGTTCGTGAATATCAATTTGATATTCAAATGTAAAAAATTTGATAGCTATTTGATATCAAATAAATATTCGGTGCTATGTGGGTCACCAATGGGTTGCATTTCTTAGATTAGGTGTTACGAGACTTGACTGTAGCTGCAATTGGCCACAGCCAAGTCCAGAGCTCACTGGACTTAACTTACAATATAGAGCACTGTCATTTCCCTGTTCCAATAGCTCCACATAATATGTAGCATAAAAAACTCACCTTACCTGTCTTTAGAAAGGTTCTGTAGACCCTTTAACTGTCTTTCCCCATAGTCATTGCTTATTCAGTCAAAACAATATTTCTTTTTTTTATAATTTCAATTGCACATCTTTCACATTATTTTGGATCAAACTGTAAACAGTAATTCCTAAACAAAAAGTAGGAAACAGTAAATTGTTGATACATTTTTATGCACTATAGCTTTTTTCCTATAATACGTATTTAGCTTTTAAAACAAAAAATACAAAACATTTTCTTATGTTTACGCGTAGTTTTAATTGCCATGTATTGCATTAATCTATTTCCATCAGGTATTACACAATATAACAAAAACAATAAAAGAAAACAAGCTTTAAGCTGTCAAAAACGTTAGTCTGCATTATTGCACATTAAGAGAATTTTATTAATTATTGTTATTATTGTTTATTAAATAAGTGAGTTTACATTTTAAAAATAGATATAAATGCTAATTATAGTTTGGCTCAAAAAGTTCAAATGAAAATGCTTATCTATACTGATATACATTCTTCTAATTGAACTAACCTTCATTATTAGTCTTAATTTAACTCACAGAAACCCTGGAGAAAGCTGAAAAGGAGATTAAAAGGTAAAAAAACAATAAACACTGATACAAAAAATTAATAATTATTATTTATTAAACGACTTACTATATAGACCACTATCTAGAGTAGTGAAAGTGCTAGGTTTCAAATGAACAACAAAGGCTAGACTTATTCGTGTAAAGTAACACTATTAGGTTATGCAGGATGTTCTGACTGACATAAATTATATAAAGAACATCAGAACGTAAAAAAAGATAAGGGTCAGTGTGTCTATATTTGAGGTAACACTGGCTAAATTGTACTGAGAAAACGCAAGAATAACTGAGACAATAATAACGTACAAACATACACACACACTTTCACTCACACACGCAAGGGGCGAACATCTGATATCACAGAAACGTATGGCGTAGGGGAGTACGAGCCAATGTGAGAGATCTATTTGACACAGACCAAGCTTTTGTCAACATTCAACAAAACAACCACTTTTAGAAACATTTTTGAAATAATTCAATTTAATTTGACTGCATTGTTTATTTCTTATTCCATTTTTATCCATTCTGAACCAATAACCTTACAAGTAATATCTTGCAAAATTTTTTTTTATGAGTTAAGTATATATATATATTTATATATATATATAAATATATATAATATATTTAATGAGTATATATATATATTTCAATATATTATATTTCAATATTTATAGTACATAATGAGCAACAAGTAAGTTGACAAAAGCCTAATCGCTTGTCTTGTACAAAGTATAACAAAAACCAACGAAAACATTGGCTTTACAAACCCTTGCAAAAACAGTTAACAAAGTAAATGAACTGGACAAGCTAGGTGCAGGCTACACGAAAAGCGTTCACTACTACATCGAACACACAAACACGGAACGCACTGGTCGCTGGGAGCGCACTTCATGGTCCCGATAATAATACAGTACATTGTAATGTCCAGTCCGGCACACTTTGAAACTTTCGATCCAGTTACAAACTAAACCATCAATTTGACAAAATAAATACTATTTGTGAGGGCTAAATACGCAGTGGTATAATATTACAAAACAACTCTAAGTTACTCTTGAAATTATTGGTAAAATTGTGGAAAAAATATAACAGATTTTCGGCGAGATTTATCAAATACACAAGTCGCTCAATTTTCTGTTTAACAAACATTAAAGAAATTTCTGAGAAAACATTCAATCGATAATTTCATATTTGGTGAAGTCAACTCTCTAATCATCGAGACGATTAACTCTGACAAATCAACAAGTAAATCAATTAAACATATTGGTAAACAAATATTGATACAAACATACAAAATGCCCCGAACATAACACAATCTTAACTAACGAATAGGATGAGACAGTCGTCTTATACTGCCAATTGTAAGTCTGTCATAAAGACACTGATAACTTAACACTTAACTCGAGGCGGCGACGTGACGTTTGAATTAAATGAACGTTCTATTGTACACAGTCTATTTGAAAACATTCAGCAAGACGAACGAGTCAACTACTGTGTTTTCAGCTCTGCTTGACACGTTTCCTCGGAGGCCCGATGGGTGGGATGTTTTGTGTGGCAAGTGCTCGAAACGCTTCCGCTATCAGGTGGGGGTGGGAGGTTACCATAGACTTGAACCCGATGGTGTCCATGACGTCTGTGGCATGGCTACAACAGACACAGAAACTTGTGAAAAAGGTGATATCAAATAACATTAAGGTCATAATAAAGGAATATTGTTGCCTTGACTTTACACTATCAAGGTATACTACACATATAAACATATGCTTTGAATTTCAGGAAGTTGTAAAGACCAACTACTATTGAATATATTTTGACCATCAATGGACTTGCAGGTCTGAGGTAGTGCATTTAAATATACTTGTAAGATAATATATCCAATTTTAATTATTTAATTTTGAATGACCCATGGTTTGTCTGGTTCAGATGCTTAATTCTCTCGGGAACCTGTCATATTCTGCTCGAGTATCTGACCAACTATACTCATCCCTCAGTTACAGAGGAGTGTGACGGTCGGTAGGGAACGTGTTAACACATTAGCTACCAACCATACTCATCCCTCAGTTACAGAGGAGTGTGACGGTCGGTGGGGAACGTGTTAACACATTAGCTACCAACTATACTCATCCCTCAGTTACAGAGTAGTGTGATGGTCGGTAGGGAACGTGTTAACACATTAGCTACCAACTATACTCATCCCTCAGTTACAGAGGAGTGTGACGGTCGGTGGGGAACGTGTTAACACATTAGCTACCAACCATACTCATCCCTCAGTTACAGAGGAGTGTGACGGTCGGTGGGGAACGTGTTAACACATTAGCTACCAACTATACTCATCCCTCAGTTACAGAGGAGTGTGACGGTCGGTAGGGAACGTGTTAACACATTAGCTACCAACCATACTCATCCCTCAGTTACAGAGGAGTGTGACGGTCGGTGGGGAACGTGTTAACACATTAGCTACCAACTATACTCATCCCTCAGTTACAGAGTAGTGTGATGGTCGGTAGGGAACGTGTTAACACATTAGCTACCAACTATACTCATCCCTCAGTTACAGAGGAGTGTGACGGTCGGTGGGGAACGTGTTAACACATTAGCTACCAACTATACTCATCCCTCAGTTACAGAGTAGTGTGATGGTCGGTAGGGAACGTGTTAACACATTAGCTACCAACTATACTCATCCCTCAGTTACAGAGGAGTGTGACGGTCGGTGGGGAACGTGTTAACACATTAGCTACCAACTATACTCATCCCTCAGTTACAGAGTAGTGTGATGGTCGGTAGGGAACGTGTTAACACATTAGCTACCGACTATACTCACGCTTCAGTTACATAGGAGTGTGACGGTCGGTAGGGAACGTGTTAATACAATAACTTAGGCTTTAATATTTTAAGTTAGTTTTCTATTTTAGTGCACTAAGGCCAGCTTCCAGTCCCTGCTACTTCCCAACATGACCCTTGCTACGAACGCTCTCCCGAACAAAGATTCATCTCTTGCACAAAATTAAAAATTTTAACCCAAGGAATTTTCTTGTCAGGTGTGTATTGGAAATTCACCTTGGAATACATTTCCTGAGGCTAGTTGACCAAATAGACGACTAACTATTTTAAAATGAAAGACAAGCCTGCTCAAATTGTCAACTTTGCAGTCAGTTAAAATCCCTGGTTCTCTGGATTACTGAGATCATTAAGTAAATGGGTCAGCAGTATTCAGTCCAATGCAAAGCCAAAAGAATTTATAGCAAGAGGAATGGGGCATATCCTAATATCACTCATCCAGTCTTTTGACCTGCAGTGAAACTCAAATCACAACCACTAATTTGGACCTAAACCAATTGAAGCACAAGTTTACTCACGTGTTGATGAAGTCGATGGCCTGTGCCTTGAGTTGGTCGGCGCTGTGCAGGTCCGCCAATATCAAGATGTCAGCAGCGTTGTCGATTGACAGATTTGTGCACAAGGCCTCCTCACACATTACTTTCAGTCTCTCAAGAGCATACTGTCAAAACACACCGGTGGTTTATTGGTCAACAGCTAAGTAACTTTACGATTTGTTTACTAGGAGTATAGCTAACAATATATGTAATGTGAGTGTTTCCAAATGTTTACCATCATCTTTGTAGTAACAGTGAAAAAATCCATTGATAAACGAGACTATAGAATCATTTTCATAATGAAATAATGCGCTGTGCCTGTTTTTTCATAGTGGAAATTGTTTTCATATCTGCGGACTTGAGCCCTTAAAAGATGTCTTCACTCATAAACCACTAAATAGATACTTGTGTGTGTTGTAGCAATGCCAATTAGCCTTGCAAGCACTTTGAAGTTGATTAATACGATTGGATTGGCTGGATGAATTCAACAATTATTCAAGTTGATTGTGGACATCAAATTAGCAGGTAAACTTCCAGTTCAATTTTTTAAAATAATTTTTAAGATTACATTTAACTCTTGTCTTGTTGTGATTGGAATTAATACTGGAAGATCTTACCTAATAGGCTAATGCCAAACTATAGAACCAAGTACCTTATCTGCCGCTGCAAGTAGATCGTCGGCCATTTTCTCCAAGTTAGTAGCTTTTCCAGTGTAGATGAAACGGAGCATTTCTCTCAAGACTTCATGATCTACGTCAGTGATCGCAACGCGGTTGTGCTTTCGTTCCTCCATCTCATGTTCGAACATGGCAGAAAAGACAGGGCTACGAGCTATAAAACAAAGAATTGTTCAACTATAACAGAGATGACTATAGCTACAAAATTAACAGTAATTTTACCATCATAGTAATTGCTAGAAGTGGTTAAATTAGAAAGCCAATTACGAGTCATAAGTAAAGTATGATAACTTAAGTAGGCCTAGTTCTTTTTGTTGCTTGTATGTTATTACTGACAATATCAGTGCATTCACAGAATAACTAAAATCAGTTTCAAGTAATTTCAACATCAGAGGTAGCCTACTAGCCCTGTTTGAGCTGACAGAGAGCTATTTCCTTTATTTTAAGTATTAATAGCTGTTCAATGCCCAGTGTCACAGAAATTTTCAACTTTTAGGCTAAGTTAGTTATTACCTTCACCCAATTACTCCAATCTTAAAAACTGTTTTGATCAACAAGTAACTAAGACTTACACCATCACAACTGCTTTTAGGGGAAACGGTCAAAACTCCAAATATTTTAGTGGATATAACTCGGGTCAAAACTGTCTTTTTCAGTTTTTTTATTGATGAATAATTTCTAGATTTATGTTCAAGACACTAGGCTAGCAATACACCCAGATTATAAACAAACTCTGATATTTTGACTTATGATTTTACGATTACGTTTATTCTTACCTGCCAAGATTGCTTTATGGGCCTGAAACTCTCGACCACCGACAGACAAGGTGACATCGCTGAACTTCTGAATCTCGAACAAGAGGCCGAGGTCATCGGCCAACCGGCATTCGGGCACTTTGAACTGGACTGCGTTTGATTGTCCAGAAATATTCACACTGTCGGCTACCACACTCACCTTGGAGCAAAAGATGTATTTGAAATATAATCTTAAATCTTTTAATGATGTAAGATAAACAGGTACACAAATCGATCATAATTCATAATTCATATTTTGTCTCAAAAATCCTGTAAATTCGAGTGAATCTGTAGTTTGAGAAACAGTGCAGAGCTTAATTACATTAACAGTATTTTTAGGGTTTCTCCATATCTATAATTTTGCACAAAACCAGTATATATTACCTAACAGTGCCTTGCAATGTTTTTATTACTGATTTACAATCTTTGAACACAAATCAAGCGATCCAATTACCTCACAAAAGATGGTCAATTTGTCGTCGGGCAACAATCCATTAGCCTCATCCAGAAGAAAATCTCTCCTTATGAACTTCTTGAATCCCCAGTCTTTTCCTTGTACGAATCTGTAGGCTCTTTGGCTTTCTGAAAACAGAAAACGCACGATAAGTAACAAAAGTTCAGAATATGGCCTATACAAAAATTTGACTAATAGGCATTAACTTCAAGCGTGGACATATATTGCACTGTGGTTTTGGTAATATTTCAAGATATTCCCGCACTACTGAGTGACTTTATGTTTGTCCGAACATTTACACTGAATTTTAGAACGAGTCATGATGGTAAATGTGAATGTGAATCAAGAGCTCAGCCTTTTACGCCAACACACTCTCCGAACGTATACCGCCAAAAACATTGCCAAAATGGCATAAAACGAACAACACTGTTCAGGTTTGGACAGTCTTAGGTTAGCGGGAAAATGGTAAACACAATAGAAAATTCAATTAATATTGCCTCCTTTAACTCATCCAAAAATGGAGCAAAGGCGAGCACAAATTATAGCAAATCTGACTATACGGAGTATAAACGAGCACACAATTTGACGCTTACAAGATAAAGAGGCGTACATACGTCTTGCAAGAGACGAATTGTCCCTACCTTAGCTTACCTAAAATCGGCAATAGTGTGCTGTTTATTTACAAACCATATATAGTTAGTTATCTTTTGTTATTCTGTGTAGCCTATACTAGTGCCGTAAATTATAATAGACTATTCTATATAGACTATATTGTCGTAGAATCTAAATCAGCTTTTAAACTTTGGTAGTGTCTAGTGGTTTTACTAATACAGTAGAGTCCCGCAAACTCGGCACTCGATAACCTGGCAGTCTGGATAACTCAGTCATCACCTGGCTCAGAAAATTAGTGATTTTTTGAGTCCGAGTTAATCATGGACTCAAGCCAGCTTAAGTCAAATTGTTCAAAACTGGTACTAAGGATTTGTTGTACTATATCTGATGACTTAATACTGACTTGTAATATAAAAAAAGGCGGTTAAAAAGCTTAAAATCTGTATTGTTCTCATGTTTAACCCTAGTTTCCGATAACCCGGCATTTCACAAACTCAGCACCCTTCCAGTCCACATTACGCCCAGTTTGCGGGACTCTACTGAATGCGATTTTTGTTTGATAACTAATATGATATTTTAGCAACTTTTAATTGAAAATATTAAAATTTATAGCTTTGATTGGGGTTGAATAGTCTTTTTTACAAATATTTGGTTTATCCTTTGACATTATTATCTGGTCTATTCTAGTTACCAATGTGGGAAAATATGCTAATTTTTATTGAGTAGCAAATTTTCACTGTAGAGGATATTGTGGCAAGCATTGTCTATTCAATATAGATTAAAATACAAATTTGTTACAGTATCAAAAACATATTTTAGATTTTTTACAAAAGAAAACATATCATTGGTTTGATGTTTACTAAACCAAGAAACTGGTAATAGATATCAGATTACAGAAAAAACAAAACAGTGATAAGCAACAGTCAATAAAAAGGAAGACTTCTCCCCCATTATCAGGATGAGTATGAATATTTCAACATTGTTTGGATCAACAATGGCTATCTATAACCATAATGGGAATTAAATGGTTCTACTGTCCTTCACCTAATGTGTTTGCAAGCAATTACTACACCTACTAATATCTTGTTTTATAATATTGTGTGTTTTGCACACTGCTTGTTGAAAACATATGGGATACAGTCTACATTTATCATTGAAAAAATTAATTAATGGAAATCGTGATCCATGGATATCCAGAATCTCACGCAACTAAACAAGAACAGCTTAGAAGGGTGTCACAGAAAACTTCATTAGAAAATGTTTAACGATTCAACGAGATATGCAAAAGAAAAATTTTTGGGTTGTAAAAATTAAATAAGAATGCTGTAAGCTGTTTTGTTAGAGATGCAATGGAGAGGTGTAACAACATTTACTGGTAGGCCTACAGAGGACATTGATTATGACTTTGTTGACTGTCTGATAAACCGTCAGTGATGCCAGGACCAATGTGAGGCCTATCACTTCTTTGGTTTCATAGCCTATCACACCACCAAGTACATACTAGGGAAGAATATATATTTAATATCTAGTGTTTTTTCCACTTAATAAGCAAAACATAACACTTTTGTCCTGGTAACTTACCCATAGCCTTAGTTTCTTCTCGCTTTGCGTTGAGAATGGAAAATTTGAACTTAGCGCGCACTTCTGACTTATTACAGGAAACCAGCAGTAGGTAGAGCGACAAGTAGTCTTTACTTTCTTCATCCAAGCCTTTTGGATTAACTCTGAGGCACCTGGAACAAGGATAGAGGAGTTTTGAAAATGTTAAAATTAAAAACCATTCTTCTAATTTAACACATTAAAAATAAGGTTTGAATCCTTTGTCAAATGTTTTGATCAATAAAACTTTGCTTTATCATATGCAGCACAAATTATGCTTTATCATATGCAGCACAAATTACACTTTATCATATTGCAGCACTTTTCATTACGTGTTGCGGGGCTGAAGTAATTCTTTGCCTTTAATAAATACCAGATGATTATTATTTAAACTAATAAAGTGTTCAAGTAATTTTGAATTTGAATTCCTCCTTGTTTATGAGAAATATCTGATCCAACAAACTCTCATTCAACAACCAAAACAGACCAAAAACAGCTGAATAATCTATCAAAACAAAATTGAAGCTATTATGAGCTATATAAAGACAGCATAGACCCTACAATTCCATTTTGTGATTTAGTTAACTAAGGGTAAAAACACAGTGGAGCCGGGCAGGTCGCATACTCGCATATACGCTGGTCCCCGCATTACGGCTGGTTACCTGGAGGGTAGCTGGGACATACACACAGTGGCGCTCAGTACAATAGCTTGTTAGCTGCCGATACTAATATGATCACTTATAATATTAGTAACATAGGATAAACTTAAGTGTATTATTCATTTCATCATTCAATGATTAATCCAGTAGGCCTAACTTTAAACTTTAGTATAAAGTGAATTTAAGTGCAAGTTCACAACCTTTTATACAATATCAGTAAACACCCTGTATGTTTGAATCCTAGTTCATTAGCTATTTCATTCTGCAACTTGTTGAGTACGTGACGGTTGTGGTGGTCCGGATGGGCTTGGCTCCACAAAGGCACACGGATAAAAACCTCTTATATCAATTTGTCTACGTCCATTATTTTATTTCATGTAAGCAAAACAACAACCATATAAATCAACTAAAACAAACAACACTCTGTATACAAAGGATGCACAGTGAAAGATCTTGCGTGGAACTTGCAAACTCGAGAACACGTGGCGACGTGGCTGTCAAGTTCTGATTTTTGCGCATGCCCCAGTCGAGCCTTCCCCGCTTGCAGCTCCCAAACAATCGACTTGGCAATTCTTCTAGCTTGCCGCCTAGCTTACTGCTACCATGTCGGCTACCTACTAGGTGCAACTGTGTGTACCCATAACAACGTGTGCTTTAATTCTACATCGCATTAAGCGAGTAAGCGACCGGCCAGGCTACCAGCTACCTGCCCTGCTCCACTGTGTTTTTACCCTAAGATAACTGTGTAATAGACTTAGGCCTATAACAAAAAATATAAATCATACAAAACCCAATACGTAATTTTTAACTTCACTTATACAAACTTGACATTGTGTCAAAATAACCTTAAGGCCTAATAATCTTAGTTTTTATCTTATTTTTGAGAATATCAAAATCCAACTAAGTAGGTGGTTACAGGAATGATCCAACTCTTTAAAATCGCTTTAAACTTAATTTATATTTGAGCTTGATAAATCTTACCATTTCAGCTTATCATTGGCTCCTGCGGAGAAGGTTGAGGATTTCAAGACTTCGCCCATTTCTTCCCGGCAGAAGCTGAAGTTGTTTATGGTCCACATGTAGCTAAACTTCACCACTTTCACCTGAAAATATCACTCTTTAAACAAAATATCATGAACTACAAAAACATGTGATTTTCGTTGTAAATAGGCCATGGATTTCTCACAAACTGTTATAGGTATCAGTTTTCCTAAAACACTTTGGTTGAAGCTTGATTGCTTTAATTTATTTAAATCAGAATCAGACAACACTCAAAAGAGAATAAGTTGGATTGAAGGTAGGCCTAGTTGAAAATCAAACTAACTTAAGTTAGTTATTTTGTGCAACAGGTGAGCAAAGTGGCACTTTTTGAAAGAGATAAATCGAATTTTTAAAAGTACTCAGCTCACGAATTTGAATTTGCTTACAATGGTTACCATGTTGTACCAACTAATTTACAATCTCTCCTTATGAAGTGCACAATCGATGATTATGCTCGATTATTTCATAAAAGAAATACCAGTACTACGTGAATTGCACGTGAATTTAAATAAATGTTAAATCTGATAACCCTTAAGGTAATATCAGTTTTTGTCAAATATGTTTAATTTAATATATATGCACGAGGTAAAAAAGATAATTAAATAAATAAATGACTATTAGTCATTTATTGAGGACTTTCACTTTCACGTTGAGGTTATGATTTTTGGCCACTTTCACTTTCACATTGAGGTTATGATTTTTGGCACCAGAACTGAGCAGCATGGGCGGGCGGCGGGATGAACAATAGCATTGCCAACATTAAATTCGGCAAACAAAAAATACTCTCCGTTTACACACTATAAATCACCTTCATAAATTATTAATTACTTTGAATTTAACAAAAATCTTGTTAACATGTATGAATTTATTTAATCCATATACGATTATTTTCTGTAGATTGTAAATAAACAAATATGAACTTAGAATAAATTTTGTTTTCTTCAGATGCCATCCGAAAAGTGAAAGTGACACTTTTTTCAATAAGATAAAAAGTTTACACACGAGGTTTGCCGAGTGCATCAATTTTATCGAGTTTATAAAATGCACTTGACGACGAATTGCACATCACGTTCTATTTACAGTCTTTGTTATGTACAAACTATTAACTTGGGAGCTCGACAACCCTACTAAATTGAGGTTATGTTTTGTGGCTCGGTAGCAATATTGGGGCATGGGGCGACGGGATAAACAATTGCATTGCCAACTTTAAATACGGCAAACAAAAAATACTATCCGTTTACATACTAATCACCTTCATAAAATAGCAATTACTTAGTATTCAACTAAAATCTTGGTTTTATCGTTTATCATGTAACAGGTACCGGTAAGCATTTATATAATCCGTGTACAGATTAATTCAATTACAATGAGCTTAGCTTAAATCCAGTTTTCTTCAGGTATCATCCGGAGTGAGGTAAAGTAGCGGGCTAAGTAAATGTTGAGAAGTATGGTCCGTCGAAAGTTCGGTCTAGCCATTGTCCTGCTATACCCTCTGGTCAGGTAGTCTGCCTCAACTTAACATGAGACAGCCTTTAGCAAACTAATACAAATTGTCTTCATGCCACGTTCTGGAGTTCTATGACAACTGATGACAATGGTACATTTCATGAAGCAGCGGCTACACTTGCCCGATTCGGTCCGGTCCGGTTCGGTTCGGTCCGGCACGAATTTGTGAGGGGTGGCTACACTTGTACGAATAGTTTCGGTCCGGCCGGAAGAGGTAGCTAAACTTGTACAATATTTTGGAGGACACACACGAGCACGGGGCACAAGTGCAGCAATACAGAAGGTGTTTAGCTAGGGCCGATTTACCGAATAGGCACGTGCCTAGGGCGCGAGGCAATTGGATTTTTTTGGGGGTGCCAAAAAAATGAAAAATAAAAAAATGGTGGTTGTATTTGCATGCAATAGCGGTAAACTTCATATAATCCGTCGCGGCCGTGTAGACATTGTAATCGTCTCCCGATATTGCGACAAAATTCTGACTATTTTCCGCGGTCGTGTAGACATAATTATCGTCTTCCATGATCGAGGCAATATATGAACATTATTGCCTAAATTCTTAGGCCTATGTCCTAGAAATGACTATTTTTCCTAATTTAATTCATCACTTTCATAGCCGAGCGCTCACGGAACCCCCCGATCCTCATCCGAATTTCAGGAGTAGGTGGCTACACTTGTCCGATTCGGTCCGGTCCGCCCCGAATGCTTCCGCCAAAATGCGGATGAATGCTCCCTGGACGATTGTTCCGCGCCGAACCGGACCGTACCGAACCGAATCGGGTAAGTGTAGCCACCTCCATTTAAAAACATGGGAAGCATTGTTCCGCATTTTTGAGGACCGGACCGAACCGGACCGAATCGGGCAAGTGTAGCCGCTGCTTTACTAGTACCCAAAGTGGCATTTTCCGGTGCACGTACAAGTTTTATGTGTGACACAGGAACCATATTTCACGTGTGAGGAAAATCCGAGCATGCGGGATTTATTTTCACGTACGAGGCAAAGCCGGTGACGGGAATAATAGGAGCAAGTGACGAAACATCACTTTCGGTACAAGTTATGCACGATATTTTTCATTTCGATGAAAAAATACCCACATATAGAATGATAAAAATATTAGTAAGATTTAAACTATTATTAAAATATACAAACATTTGTTTTAGAAGACCTACATTACAATGTAAAAATTACTAGCTTAAGTTTGTGTTTATTCTGCAATAAACATACACTACAACAGCAAAACTAGCTTATTTCTATTCCTGTTTCATTTGTATTGTTGAACAGTAAATCAGCTGATTTCAGAAATAGAAATAATTGTTAACAAACACTAGTGTGTGTAGTGGCTAAATAAAGAAGTGATGAAGAGCAAAGAAAGTAAATTAAGATCAAGGGAAAATCAGCTGATAGGTTTTCCTTTGCTCTGAATTAGAGCTTCGGGAACAATATAACAATTAATTTCTTTATATTATAGGTAATTGAAAATGGCTACTTTCCGCACGGAGTGTTGACCGAAATATTTGAGATTAGGTACATCAGGAATGCCAATCTTATATGTTGTTTGATACAATATCAGTGACTCACCGAGTCGACTCGTCCACCTGAGTAAACGGGCTATGCTAGCCTAGTTTGTATGATGACAATTAATTGTGTTTCTAGGTTAAAGCTGAATCAACAAGCCCTAGTTACAACGCCGCCTCTTCATTCCAGTTTAAGGCCTTCTTGTTGTACACCACCAGCAGCGAATATCTGTCATCTGCTGCTAACTAAATGTTCAATTTTAAATTTCTTTTCATAGTTACACACCCTTTTTCTGGATAATACTCGTCAAAAGTAGTTAGTTTTTTCCAGAGCCATAATTTTTGTTTGTTTTTATCACGTTAACTTTCGTAACAGTTTATAAAGTTGTTACCTTTAGCCATAGTATTATTGTTATATAGTCAAATTTTATTGTTGTTAATTTCTTTACACTGTTGTTAATTATGTACACTGTTGTTAATTTATCTAAACTGTCGTTAGTGTTGTTAATTCACTTGCACTGTTGTTCTAGTCTAACTGTTGTCAATTTGTATTGTTGTTTCTCGCATTGTTGTTAATTTATACTGTCGTTATTTATATTGTTATCAATTTACACTGGTCTGATTAATAATATCACTTCACATCATATGAAATTAACTCTCTCTCACACATTGTAATCTCATCACACATTGTAATTCATTGTAATCTCATCATCATGTCAATTCTTACACATCCACATTATGTTTTCTTCTACATTTTGTTGTATACGTATGTCATTTATCATGTATTTTCTTTAATTGGTGATTGCTTTTGAAATGAATAAAAAATAAGAGAAAAACAAAAGGTAAAATATAAAAATAACATTCAATTAATCTGCAAAACCTCGAACGACATTTTAAAAAACATGCAGCCAAAACACAGTTATAAACCACCCAAGAATACCGAACGCGTAACAAAAGAGTCAAATTCTTCTTCTAAGCTCGTTTAAGTTCACCGCAGGACAGCACAATGATAGTGAAAACAACTAGACAGCAGTTTAAATATAAACTGACAAGTCCATTTACTGGTCAGCAGTTTCATTGAGAATTAGAGTTTCGTTCTCTACAAGGCAGTTTGGTGTAAAATAAATTTGTCCTTTGACAGGATTGCAGAGGTGTCCATAGGGGGATTTTATGTTACAACTTGCGACACTGGCAGATCTTTTGGGGGATTTTGAGAATATTAGAGTTTATGGGAGATTTTGAGGGTTAGTAAGTAGCACATAAAAGATTTATCCTACATTTTTTACGACTTCCCTTATTTATCTTCCTTTATATTATTTGGCTCGTTGATCAATTTTGTCAATGAGAACAAATCCCTGCCTACCCCCCCCCCCCCTGTAAAGCGGTTTATGGTTGCATATTAAACTGTTATCTGCATTTATATTTCTATCACTTAATTGGCACCAATTCAAGCATTAATTTAAGCATTGTTTGCGTATAATTAGTTTGTTTTTATCGTTCATTATGTAGTCATTCTCAATTATAAATCTCATTGCATTTATGGACTAGTGTTGTTGGTTTCTAAGATTATGATATGTACTTCTAGGAAACAGTATTAAAAACAATAGCCACTTTGCTATTTCAATAAGAAAGCTCACGTACCTCAAGAGTATTTGAGTAATTTGGCTCTAAAAAAAAATACGCCTAAGTCTGGTCTGGGTAGTTTGATTCTTCAGAAGAAATTAACATACATTACAATTTTGTTGTGCTGTTTGACATGCATTGACGTTAAGTTTAAGAATAAAAAATGTTATCCAGTGGTAATCAATCTAGATTTTCAAAAGAACTTGATACAAATCTTAACCTTGAAATATCAATTAGGTCTACAATAAATTTTGAAGCTAGGCCAAAATAGGAGAAGTCCAAAAATCCATTCGGATAATGAAATATTTCGATATGTATGTTTGGGTTAGGTTAGCCATAAAAGGAAAGAAAAGTCAAAAAAAGGTCCACAACAGCGTATTTTTAACTTTACCTGCAAAATATGGTTCTATAGAATGACTAG